TAAACAATACATTTTCTTTTCAGGTATCTTTGAAATCGGAATGGCGTGTGCAGTGGTCGATCCTAACCAGCAGGAATGGACCTCCAAGACGAAGTCCCTGAATCCGTTCTTTGGAAAAGAACAGACCTACAGGTATGTGACCCAGTGTAGAAACACCATGATTTAAGAAGCATTTATGTGCTGTCACTGTCCGATGGAGTACTCAGATTATTTAGCACGGAATGAGCCCTCTAGTCTAAATGGAGGAAAAGTGCCTGGAGTGCCAAACTGGTGCTGCGCCGGTTGTGCTTAAAGCTGCATTTGCAATTTGCTGGTGGTCTTTCATTTTCTTGGCCGCCATGCAGCAGGGGCAGTACTGTCCTTGACTGTATCTAACCTCATGATGGCGAACCTGCCTCCCTGCCTGGCCCACACCCTAGACCTCGGCTTTACCGTCTACGCTGATGACATCATGGTCTAGACCAGAGGGGGAAACCATTGCTTGTTAGGAAGAGACTCTGCAAAAAGCCCTTGCCGTCATTGTTGATTACCTAGACTCTGTTGGCCTCACAGTGCTGCCAGAGGAGACCCAATACGTCGTGAGCTTATGCATGGGCCTGTGCCCCGATTCACACAAACAAGTCACGAAGGTGACATTTCTATGGGTCATGCAATGAATTTCTTACCTTCGCTAAATACTACTCGGAACGAGTCCTTGACATGAATGGCCCACAATACGGACAGTAGTTTCCCTCTCCAAGCAATGACAGTCGCAGAAAAACTACAGGGTTTTCTGCGACTGCGATCCTGACACCTGCGCCACGTGCATCATCAAGTGTAATCTTCAGGTAGCTACTGGTGAATCGCCTGGCAGCATCTTGTGTAGTTAAGTTTCGTTGCTGGCGTAGGTGCCGGCTATCTCACATAACTACAAAATATTTTTATGTAGAAAGCTTTTTCACATGCTGGCGGTATCTTGAATCACTTCAATCTGAACACTTCTACATGTTGTGCTGTTAAAATATAAAAAAAAAATTCATGCAATATGTTGATTCCAATATTTATTATGCAGGTACATGGAAACCAAAGGAGCCACAAAGCACCGAGAGGCTGGCCTGCGACTGTTTTCTTCAGGCCACCTGCAGAAGCTGGAGTTTTCTACGCGGGAGGCTGAGGACACCATTGTACGTGCTCAAGTTTTGGCATCTATGTCAATAAGAACTTCGTACGAAGTCAATGCTGCACTGGCTAAGTGTGATGGGGAGATCATTACTGGCCACTGCTCATGTGTTGCAGGAAAGGGTTCCGTCTGCAAGCACCTTTGTTGCGTTTTTTACGGGCTAATGTACATCGCACAGCATGACCTCAGTGTTGTACCAGGTGTTGCATGCACCGAGACGGAAAGGCAATGGTACAAGCCAAGAGACCCCAGAAAAGTTAGCGAACAGTTTGGCACTGTGGTCTTTTGTAAAGACACTTGTCAGAGAATGAGCAGTGCTCCAAAGCACCATGAGAAGCGAGTGGCATATTCGTCACCTAAGGGTGACAGGCTAAATCTGCAGCCATTGGACCTCATTCACCTGCACGGCAAACTGTACGAGAGCGGCCTTCACTGCTTTGCGGACGTGCTCGAGGCTAATGACTTTTTACCTAACAAAGTGAAAGAAAGTGACAGTGAAGCCACGGAAAAGGTACCACCGCGGTGGTTGGATCAAGTAGAGAAGCAGCTAGGTCTAACTGCCTACACGCCCGAAGAAGTAGCGGCTGTGGAGGAGGGCACAAGGCTGCAAAGCTTGTGTCCTCTGTGGCATCACTATAGAGAAGGCATCATCGCTGCCTCACTTGCGAATAGAGTGTACACGGGGGTGCACACTTGTCGAACGAAAATGGGACCCCACGATCCTCGGTCTCTCTCGAATGCAGTGTTGGGCAAAACGAAATGTCGCGCAACAAATGACATGAAGAGAGGTCTCTTGCTCGAACCTGAGGCTAGAACACTGTTTCAAGAGAAAAACGCTAGCCATGTAGATCTTGACGTGAAGGAGAGTGGTCTCTTCTTGTCGCAGAGCCACCCTTTTCTGGGTGCAAGCCCAGACGGGATAGTCTCGTGCAGCTGCTGCGAGAAGCGGCTCATTGAGATCAAATGTCCGCGGAGCTTGGCAACATTTTCTAAGTCTGAACTGCATGATGGACACCTTAAACCCACTAGCAAACATTATGCACAGGTGCAGATGCAAATGGGCGTGACGGGACGGAAGTTGTGCATCCTCTTTGTGTACTGCAGCAAAGACGACTACCGGCAGGTTTCAGTTTCTTTCGATGAGAAATATTTCCATGAGCTGGTTGAGCGTTGTACGTTTTTCTACGACACATACTTTCTGCCTTGTTTTAGATATTAGGACATTTTATTGCAAAACATACTCATCTGAAAAGCTATTTGTTTCTGTGGTGAACTAAATTTGGAACTGCTGGTGTCAGATGCATATTTAGCAAATTTCTTTTTAAAGAAACGTATTAAAAAAAAATTGTCTAAGTGTTCTAACATGGTGCTTGGTATAACATGTGTTTTGTTTAAGATAGACTACTCGTTGGCGGTTTATTCCTTATATTTTTGTGCCAGCAAATCGCCTCAGATCTTCAGTGTACTTATTTATCTTTTGAATGTATTTGTTTAGTGTGCCATATGATTTGCAGAGGTAAATAAACACTTTGCCATATCCTTTTTCTTCCTTGTTTCATTGTGGCCGGATGCCTAACTAAAACACTTTGCACGTGACAACTCAAGTGAATTCTAGATTGCTGTACACGAATACAGTTTTGCGAGGTCCTAATTTTTACGAATCGAAAAGTAGGTCCAGCAAACAATTCAGGCAATATGTGAACACTACAGAAGCTACATTCGATTCTCAAAAATTAAGTCGTTTACACTATAATGTAGTACACAAAAGATTCTCAAATAAATATAACAGTACTAAAAGGCTGCCGTGGTATTAAGAGGGGGGGGGGGGATGCTATGTGAGCAGCCTTAGTAGGAAAGCATAAGCTGACACGTGGCTGCCAGTCTCTGCATACAAGGTGTCCACAAGAAGCAATTGCTCAGTAAATGGCACTTATTAGCTGAAACATTAAATTGAATTAGCACTTTAGCCTATAAATCAGTGTTGCTGTGAACACTGCAGCTGAAAGGAAGCCTTAGGGAAACATTTGTCTTGTCCCAACATCAGACAATGAAAAGCCGAGAATGATTGTGTATGCACGCCAAGCATTCAGTGATGTGTAATAGTATTTCAACACGATAAGCAACAATCTTATTGCTTATCATGTAGGCAAGCATAAAGATATCCCTCTCCCAGAGCAATCTTTTATTGCACACAAGGTACTTGCTTGTGTACACAATCGCACATGGTCACCATCTCGCCGCGAGACATGAACTCCTCAGATCCAACACATTTCAAATGGCTGTTAGTAAAACGAGAGTCCTCCCAACCTTTCGACTAGAAACTCGTGCCACAGAAAAGGGGCCAACGGTGTTCAGTACTTAAAAAAAAATAGTTTGGTATTATCTTTTGAGCTTCACAGTAGAACGTTTCTAGCTCTGTGTTCTCATGTGCTCCTTTTTCTGGCCTGCTATGTGATATGCAGTTGGTGAAACTGTTGAATCCAGCATTACTTCATAGTTATTTTAGCAGTGCCAATGCAACGGACTACCTACAACAAGGGCTCATAAACAAAGTTTGTCAAAAGAGCACAAACGTGCCACACCTTGTTGAGCTGCTCAGACATGCTGTTTGGAAAAGTCTGCGAGAGGATTCTGAAATTTTTTACCCTTCTGATAACTCTCTCGACGTGTATACGGACGCTTGCAATGTGCCTTGTTTCCTGCTCATCCTCTTCCGAGAGCTGGGGTCGCCCTTCCATAAATGGCGGAATATTCAGGTGGAGTGAGCGCTGCTTGCATTCCTCCGATATTGTGAAGCCCCTGTCCGCCATGACGCTGCGTCCAGGGGTGAACTTGTCCAATACACCGCAAGCCTTCGTAAGTGCCTTGTCGGACAGCCTGCCAGGTGGAAGGTCCGACACAAAGGTGACGAACCCGTTAGGGCTACAGACAATCAATCCCTTTGCAGTATTGTGTTTCTTGTATGTCGAGTATGTTTCACTCTGCACTCGAAATGAAGATGGAGTCTCTATGTAGATCTCGGTGCAATCCACGATCCCATCCACGGTGTTATACCCTTTGTCTGCAAAGGCTTGTGGCCTGTATTTATCACACAGGTGAGGGGGCAGCCATGTTGGCACCTGCATAAAATGATTTGAAGACTGTAGAAGTAATTTCTGGGCTTTTCTTTCTCTATGTGAGAAAAACAATAATCCAGTGTGTGAAAGCAGATTGCCAAGCTTGTTGAGCTTGATATTTCTTAATTTTTCTAGAAGACAGGAGTTGAGAAAAGCATCCAAGCAGGCAATGTCTGCGTACATACCTGGCGAAGCCTGTTGTCCAGGAAGTCCAGCCAAGTGACCCACATTCGGGACACCGTACTTTGCGACACACCAAACCAGTTAAAAATATTTTTATGGTATTGTTTTTAATCACGAGTCACTGCCAACCTACATTTTAAAAGCGTGCACACTTGTAAACAGGCAAGTTCAGGTATTTCTATGCATGATCTTCTTGCCACCAACACTGCAACGGTAGCATTAATAACAGTCGGCAGAGATTTTACTACCTATTAAACCAAAATGCAAAGATAGGAATTTTTGTTTAGTTGAATAAGGAGTCGTTGTTCGGATCTATCTTGCATAGCCCAGCAGCACTGGCACTTAAATTAAGGCAACATTATCTGACTCGCTGAGTCGAGAATATAATTACTTGCTACACTTTTATTTACTCTGTAGAAAGCATTGTGCACAGATTATAAATCGAGAATCGTCTATGTAGATCGAGACCAAATATTATACAGATTTTTCACATGCCATTCCACATTTTGAATGCTCACATTTAACATTTTTACGGTCATACGTTAACCAACATGTCTGTCGCAGCCAATAAAAGGATATCGGTTTTCAAAGGAGATGGCCCACCTGAAAGCAAGGTCTGCTCCGTCAAGCCCCAATCGAAGACGAAGGAGTATTAAAATCAGCTGAGTCTTCAGAGGCAGAATAAATCTGCGGTCCTCGTTTTCAGTTTCTTTCATTTGCCAAAACTGCAATCTTTTAGCATCTGGCTCCAGAAGGGACCAAAACACGTCTAAGCGTTCAGGTGACGTGAAGCCTGTGTAGTACCTCAGTTTCTTGTGGTCCTGTTTGATGGCTTCGTAACGAAACTCTGTCGTTCCCTTAGCTTCCGCTTCCTTCATCCGCCTGTACGTGGCCGAGAGATCAAGCTTAAGCGACCTGTTTTTTTGTTTTACTCGGTCGCACAGCTTCATTGAGTCAACCTGTTCTTGGCGGCTCTTGTCAAGCTGCCTTTTCAGTGATATCACTTGAGCTTGTACCTTTTTAACTTCCTCCTCTAAGCTTCCAATCACATCCTTCAGGCTAGAGATCTTCCTGAGGAGCTCGGTCTCACTCTTGTTATGAACACTGTAGGTGTGATCTGACAGTGGGTTGAGCTCTGGCAGTGTTTCGTCATCTACGGTGCTGCAGCAGGCGGTGCCAGGGTCGACGTCATCTGCAGCTCCTGTGGTGGCCTCCTGCTGGGCCGCTGGCATACTTGAGCCGTTGAGTGTAGTGGGCTGATTATAGCACAAATAAAAACAAAAGAACAATAAATTTAATATTCTATGTAATGCACTTAACCCATGGGATGACAATGCCTCTAATGTTCCTGCATACCTGCAGCTCAGATGTTCATATTGTTTCAGATGTAAAGAGACTTGTATCCTCTAATATTTTAATTATTTGACGTAAATCATTGAGTTTCTTTAGTCACGCCAAAGAGTTCTCCATGTGCGAGTTAAACTTTTCAGCACTGTTGAATGCTTTCTATGCTCCTGGCTGGTATGCTATATTTGCCAACCTAAAAGCTGCTGCATAAAATGGCAAGCCTCCTTTAAGAAAAAGAGAGACACCAAGGAAGCTTTTTTTGCTAGGCTACGCTTGGCCTGGACACCATGCCTTTATTCGTGTTAAGGGACGCCTTTTCACCACCTTCTTTCGTTGGAGGGGGAAGATGGTCGGCACCCGCACCATGTAAGTCTTTTTCCCTCCTTGGAAATGTGCCCCACACACTCTGTGGCCCGTGGTTGGCACAAACTTTGAAAACCTGGGAGAAAAAAAATGGTCATATGCTGCAAAGCACATGGGCCCTTTAGAGCAACCTGACGCTTTTGAAGGAGTATTCAATCACTGTCTATTCAGGAACACCAAAATGGGCTTGTACATAGCAAGCTCAAGTGTATCTCTCGCAACGTTACCTTAAATGTTCATTTCACATAACAGTCCAAAACCTTCACAAACTATCGAGATTATGCGTTGTTTTGGTTTTATTAGCGGCAAACATCTAGAGACAAGCTTGGCTCTGTCTCCCCTGCTCAGCTGGTAAGTTAACGGTTACATGGCCAATGCTTGATGCATGATAAAATTCAAAACAAACCATGTCAGCACGACTTTATCGTCACTTTCTGCACCATTAACTACTGTTGCGCTCGTTGCTTTGAGTTACGTTTTGGAGCGGAAAGCGTGATACATTCGACAGATTCTGTCCACGAAACGTTTACGATTTGGTTCATGCGTCGCGACAGCTGAAATAGGGACAAACCACAGGGGGTCCGTTAGTTGGCAATTTTAAAAGAGACCGCGCAAAAAAAAAAAAAAAAAAGAAAGAAAGAAAATTGCTTGCACGAACAGAGTCCTCTGTTTGTGTACCTTGTCGCTTAGTCCGTTTGTCTTACCTAAACGTCCAACATCATAAACGGGACCGCAGAAATACACCGGGCAAACAAAGAGAGCACTGAAAGCGACCGCCGGAAAGGAGCGCCGACATCACGATTGAGATAGGCCGATACGTCGCGCCTCCGCTGCAAGTGCGCGGAGCGTCAAACAGATCCCAAACACAAAGAGCATGTCAGCGCGTCCTTCTCTACACCCTTCATGCCTTGTACCTTGGAAGCTTATGCTCTTTTGTCAACGTGCGATGGGTTAAATGCAGACGAAGGAAAGCTGTCTTATCTTCCGCTCTGTCCAGCTCTGTTGAGTCCTCGTAACCACGTCTCACGCAGGCTTTTTTCCTTTGGGAACACGTAAAACCCGATGCCTTTTTGCCGGGTACTATTGTTATTGCACCCTGGCACACAACAGGTGAAGCCACCCATTGGGCACAGTGAATGAGCACCGGTTAGAACAACTACGTCGCGTTCAAAGAGCGCACCGAGGCTGCCGAGGCGGTCGAAAAACTCCCGAGAACTATAGGTCCCAGAATTCACCGCGGCAGCGGTGGCGTAGTGCAACTCACGGTGAGATCGGTCTATTGGGCGGTACCTAGCGCCACCTAGCCTAGCAACTTCGAATTATTCTGCTTGACCCTGCCATCTGGTGGCAAGCGATTTAACCTTCTTTCACGCTACGCGATAAACAGCGGCTTCGAGTTCGTTCTTTCAAGAGCGGCTTTTGGTTTCGCGGATTGGTTTGCCATTTCTCCGTGATGTGCGGTTGGCGAAAGAATTGTGACTCGAGGAACAGCAAAGGTAAGGTGCAAAGTGCGCGAAGTAACTGGGTATCGTTTGTCTCCGTTGAACATCGCAGTGCTGTCGACGAGAAGACCGAGTAACTGCTTTCGAAACGCAAGTTTCTGTACCTGTGGGGAGAATCTGGCTTCGGAAATAAACACAGTTCGCGGAAAGCTCGTGTTACGCTTTTATTTGCTGCTCCTCTCGTCCCGTACAAGAGACGTAGCGTCCTCGTTAAGCCTTATTGAGCTCGATTTGCTCGATTCAGGGCCGCCATAATGAGATGCAGGCGACGGAGGAACTTTGCTCCCGTGCTTCAGGGACGAAAGTTTCTCTCTTTCTAAAGGAACATAGGTTACAAGACCGTTCCTCCCCTAAGGGAGGGCTATCCATACCCTTTTTTCTAAGAGTGTGGTGTCGATCTTTGCAGTAAGTGAAATGTTGTTCACGGTTAAGGCTAGCCCACATGGAGCGTTTTTTCCGGGCGTCTAGAGGCGCGTCTGGCTAAGCCAGACGCGTGCGCCCAGTCAAACCACACGCAGCGTTACCGGGCAGCGCTTCGCATCCGTGTTTCCCAAGCGTCTGCCCAACGTAGCCAGACGCGCTTAAGAAACAAAAGCAACTTTTTAATAGAAATAGCGCGTTAAATGATGGCTACATGCCGTAATGTCTAATTTTATTAATAGTAAGCACGCATATGTATTACAGCAATTGCAATGAAGCTCAATTTCACTCATTTTCATCCTTTTTAGTGCATACGCCTCATCTACCTGTCGGTATGCCATCGGCATCACTATCTCCCGCGCCGAAACATTTGCAGCTGGCCGCTATCAAGGTTGCGTGGTTGTCGATAGTATTAATTTTGTACCTTTGTCTCTCGGTGTCTTTGTATTCTTTACATTTCGCCTGCCAGAATGCAGGACCCTTTTGTACTTCACTAACTCCTCTCTGTTCCGCTGAAGGAGCGCCAGCCTCTCCCGCGGGGCAGGGAGGAGTCCCTGGACTTGTGCGAAAGGCATGGTAAGCTGATGTCCGCAGGGGGAAGGACGTAGCTACTCATGTTCACCCTGCTGCGAGCATTGGCGGGGCCTAAGCCGTTTTCATTGAAGGCCGCGGGCGTGCAAATTTTGTAAACTCCGCGCGAGCGGGTGTGCGTGCGTGTATGTGTGTGTGTGTGTGTGTGTGCGTGCGTGCGTGCGTGCGTGCGTGCGTGTGCGCGCTCTGCCTTGGAATGGCACAGGTTTGTTACCCGTTTTTGTGCGTGTATCTTTCTGTTTTGAATGTTTGTACTTATTTTCCTCTCCCGTGTCCCTTGCCCACTTGGCGGTGGGCTAGCAGGCGCACCTGCGTAAGGGTCTCAACCTTTCTGCCTATACTTCGTTTCACCTTATGTACGAGCGCAGACGATGTTATGAGCCGAAGGGCCAATCAAAAAGCGCAACGTCATGGCGTGCTCTCTGCGCTTGATAGGACTAGCCGGTGGAGGAGCACGCACAAAGAGACGGCGAATGGTCATATCAACCGCAGAGAGCACCCCATGACGTTGTGCCACTTTCGTTGTTTGATTGGCCCTTCGGCTCATAACATCGGCCGCGCTCGGACCTAAGCTGAATCGAAGTATAGCCTTGCACGCTGGCGAGTGTGCATCGCAATCTGTGCAAATCAAAGTTATTATTATTATTATTATTATCGCCATTGTCGCAAGGTCCGTGGCGAATACTACAGTCTTAAAGCGGCGAAAACAGTGGAGAAAATTCAAACGCTCCTTCCAACCAGTGAACACTGCCGTTCATTAGTTGTTGCCTACTGGACACAGCGGTAGACGCGACTCCTGGACGCAAAATGTCTGGCTCCTCCAGATACGTCGGAATGCGCCAAAAAACGCTGCGTTTCGTCCCGATGCTAGAAGTGACGTCAAAGCGCAGGCGCTGGCGCGACGCAGACGCAGAGAAAAGCGCGCCATGTGGGCTAGCCTTTATCGTCGCGAACTTGGCGTCTGGACGTCTACCGAACTCCCCGACGGCGCCGAGAAAAACCGCCCGTGTTGGATTCTGTTCCACTGAGGAAATGCCTTTGGTTCCTCCAGGCATCTTCTTGCAGACACGTGCCTAAGGACCCTTGGTCTCGCATCGAGCGTACTTTTCGGCTCGCACAGGGCACTCAGAAAAAACTTGACGCAATCCTCCGCAATAACCGCACGTGGAGCTTGGTTGTTTTGCATGTGAGGTTCGCTTCGCATTCGAAGAAGATGGAGCGCTACGAGGCTTAGATGACAAGTCTTTCGCCACTGCGTCTAAGCCGCGGCGTCTTGAGTCTTGACAGGCGGTTGCGCTTCGGTCTTTCTCAACAGCTGCTGCTGCTTGTGAACACTCTTTCGAGCCTTGGCAAGCGCGGAAGTAGAGTGACCGCAGCGTCTAACTGAAGAGCTTCCGAGAGTGACTTGTCTCGCAGCCGAGAACAAAGCGGTCACGCGCGTGCCTTGGGGCCACGGGCCCCAAGGCACGCGCGTGACGTGCCTCGCTTATAGAAAGCGTGATGTTCAAAGGAGGCTCACGCCACAGACACAACGAGCAAAACAACCAGGAATCCAACACAAAGCGAACTGATCTTGATAAAATTTGAAATCGGACAAAAGCAACCAAAACTTCCTAGTCCGCAACGAAACACTTGACGTATACCGCGCCAAGGCATCAAATTTGTATGAACTTTCTCTTTTCTGTATCCAATCTGAGGGATGGCTTATTTACAGCATTCCAATGATTTATGATTGTTATAGATTCTTTTATCAAACGTTTCCGGTCCTTTTTTTTGTTTTTTTTTGTTTGCGCCCTAACTTTTTGTTCCCTAGTTTTATGGCTCATCTAAAATGATCCGCAGTTGCTTACTATAGTTCAAAAATCAGGAAATAACTAAAAAGATGACGTGCAACAAAAACAAATTCGGCTCAGAGTTTTGGATAACATATCTGCCTTTATCCACACGTTCATAAAGTTCCTATGAATCTATTAAATAATTGTGCGTGTTTAAAATACTTGCATAACCTA